GCGTAATTAATTGCGTAATTATTGTAATAAATGTCTGAGCATAACCCACAATTCAAAGCTTTTATATACTCGTGTAAATTCTGTGACATGAATTAGTCCCAAACGGTGGACGTTATGTCAGCGTTGGCCTTCGCGAGGTTCAGGATGATTTAAAACCGTAGATGGCAGCAGGGTCGGAAATTAACTGTGGGTGGATTTTTTTAGTTTGGCGACTAAATCTCAGAAGGATATCCGCCACGCTGACGGGTAAATGTCTGCACCAAAATATAATAATAAACTATCCTGAGAGTGCAACGTTGGGGTGTAATTCACTGTCCTGCTGTCTCTGTTGGAATTTAACAACCACAGATACTAAGAGCTTCTCGAGTGCTTCTAGTTTCAGAGCGCTGTTTACTCTACAGGACAACTCAACGCTCATTAAATAACATTACTTATGTATGTATTCATGTATGTATGTATGCCACAAACGCTGTGATGCTGTGTAGTGAGGAGTCTCATTAGGAGGTTTAAGTTGGTCAAAAAGCATCAAAGTAGAATTGAAACAGAAATGTATTCAGGCTTAAATTAATTAACTTTTGATCAGTATATTCAAGTAATTTTGCTTCAGATGTATCTCTGGCCTCTTCTTTAAGTTTGCATTCAACATAATATCTTATCGTCTCAATAAAAGAAACAAAACAGTAAAATATGCTCGACCGGTGAGTCAAAAAGTGAATTTCGGACATTGAGACATTTTCCACCAATGAATTTTTATACATTCAGTAATAAAGTCAGTATTTACAGCAGCACTGACGTGTTTCAACACAGTGCAGTCACAGAAAAACACATTTAAGTGTCTCTTATTCAACGATGCTTGCGACAAAATATTCTTCTTTTATTGTCCACAGCCGGGATATGAACCCCAGGTTGAGAACCGCCGTCTCAGAGGAGAACAGCAGACGATAAACATCAATAACGAGCCCAGAGTCTTTGAATTCATGCACAGCCTTAAATGGATATTTGGGACCCAAAGTAAACAAGATGCCACTATTAAACCTTTTAAGAGAGAGTCTGATGACTTATGGGAACTGCACTCAGGCATTAGCGAGCGCACTCTGCAGTAACAAACAGCCTCGACTAACCTGTCGCTACAGCTGGAACTCTCGCTGATCTTGTTAAATGAGTACTCCTCGCCATATGGACACACGTTCTCCCCCAAACATGCGTTGCTGCTAGTGTGTGTGAGTGTGTGTTAGACAGTTAAATACATTTAGGTGATCAAGTATTTGAGGTTTAAGTGTGTATGTGTGTTTTACAGAGAGAGAGAGAGAGAAAGAGAAACATGAAGTGAGCGAGGCTTGAGTGAGTATGTGTGTGTTCTCAGTGGACAGGAAATGGAGGGAGGGAGAAAACGAGTGAAAGAGTGGACTGAAGAGTAAAGGAAGGGGTTGTGTGTCTGTGTGTGTGAGGGAAAGAGAGAGAGAGAAAGAGTGAGCAAGCAAGCGAGTGGGGAGAGCGCTGAAAAAGGAATAAAGCTTTGTACCACCGGGACTTCAACACGCACTGCGCCATTCTACCGGCTCCATCTATCACTGTGCTCCGGCCCCAGCAGCACTGTGTGTGTGTGTGTGTTGAAGATGGAAGGATGCTGTAGTCCAAGTTTAAAGCGCAAGCTACACACTACAACCAACACCAACACTGCATTGAGAAACCGTCCTCGGCCTCTCGCTCGCTCTGTGCTGCCCCTGAAGCTTTAAAATGGATTTTCTGGTTTGATAAAAGCTGATAAATCCCATTATTTCAGTACTTTG